TTCCCCCCCCCCCCCACCACACACACACACACACAGAGACGGAGAAGGTGGAGGTTCAGGGTCTGGGCGGGCTGCACGTGGTGGGCACCGAGCGGCACGAGAGTCGCCGCATCGACAACCAGCTGCGCGGGCGGTCGGGGCGGCAGGGCGACGCCGGCTCCACGCGCTACTTCCTGTCTCTGGAGGTGTGTGTGTGTGTGCATGTGGAGGGGGTGCTTGGGGCGTGAGCTGGAGCGGGTTGTTGGGGCGGTGCGTCATGTGTGGAGACAGCGCGGTGCCTGCGTGGGCGGGATGGGGCGGGGCGCCCGGGCGTGCCGCGGTGCGAGCGTCACACACAGCCCCCACCTTGCCCACCCCGCCCGACGCGCAGCACGCGCAGCGGCCCTCTCTCCAGCCCTCCTCCCCACCCCCCTTCCTTGCCACCCACCCGCTCACCCCCACCCCCAACCTCCCTTTGCACCCGCCCCCCGTGCCACAGGACAATTTGTTCCGCATCTTTGGCGGCGACCGCATCAAGGGCCTCATGTCGGCCTTCCGGATCGAGGTGGGCTTCTGTTGCGGGGCTGCTGGGTGTGGCGTGCGTGCGTGCGTGTGTGTCTGGAGGGAGTGTTGTGTGTGGCTGTGTGGGGAGGCGTGTGTGGGCGCATGTGTTGCAGAGGCAGGCAGGTGGGCGGGCGGGCAGGCAGGCAGGGAAGGCGGGCCGCGGTGTGTGTTGGGTCCTGGGTGGCTTGTGCCACTGCTCCCAGCCACCGCCAGGCCACCCATGCCCCCACCATCAAGCGCCGTCCCGCCGCCCTCCCATATCCCCCCCCCGCGCCGCCACCGACCCTCTACACACATGCACGCGCGTTGTCTACGCCCTTCCTCTGCCCACAGGACCTTCCCATCGAGAGCCAGATGCTGACCAATGCTCTGGATGAGGCGCAGCGCAAGGTGTGGGGGGCTGTGTGGGTGTGGGGGGGTGTCTGTGTCTGTGTGTTGAGGGAGGGGGCGCAGCTGCGCTGGGTGAAAGCTTGGCGGAAGCCGGGGCCTCCCCGGCGGGGCGGCGGGCTGGGAGCTGGCTGGGCGGCAAGCGCCCGGCCCCCGTGGCGCAGCCATCGGATGGTCGGCGCAGCCGGGGCTCAGCCCCCGCCGGCGCACCCCTCACCCTCTTGCGTGCTGCGTGTCCTGCGCCCTCTGGTACCGCATATGTACCGCCCATACTGTACCGCCTCGCTGTACCGCAGGTGGAGTCCTACTTTTACGACATCCGCAAGCAGCTGTTCGAATACGACCAGGTGTGTGCTGGTGTGTGTGTGTGTGTGCCTGTGTGTGTTTGTGTTGGGGCGGGTGCGTTGGAAGGGGGAATGCCCCGATTCATCCATAAGCCGTGCTCCGCAAAAGGCGGCGCCGCCAACTCCTGCCCCCCACCATCCCCTCCCTTCACCCCCACACACACGCTGCTCCCCTGCCACCAGACACCTCTTACAAGTCCGCCTACTGCCTACTCCCTGCCCCCTCCCCCTCCTGCTTGCCTCCAGGTGCTCAACACGCAGCGCGACCGCGTGTATGCCGAGCGGCGGCGGGCGCTGGAGGCCGCCGACCTCACGCCTCTGATGAGCGAGTACGCCGAGAAGACGATCGACGACATTCTGGAGGTGTGTGCGTGTGGGTTGTGTGTGTGGGGTGGGGGGGGGAGGGGGATGGTGGGGGGCAGGAGTTGGCGGCGCCGCCTTTGGCGGAGCACGGCTTATGGATGAATCGGGGCATTCCCCCTTCCAACGCACCCGCCCCAACACAAACACACACAGGCACACACACACACACACTAGCACACACGTGGTCGTATTCGAACAGCTGCTTGCGGATGTCGTAAAAGTAGGACTCCACCTGCGGTACAGCGAGGC